CCCCCCCCTGCCAGGGCAGACCCACCACACCTTCTCTGCTAGGCTGACAACACACCGCCTCTCACACCTGTGCCACGGACACTAAAGCATGAAAACTCCCACAGGACCCCGCTGCTGCAACCACGCGGTCCTTTTCTCCATCAGACCCAGTGGAACCACTGGTCTTTAGTGCAAAGCACCTCTCAGGCTTGTCGGCTGGAACGCTCGCACCAGCCAGGACGCAGCAGCGCTCCCGCCCACGTTACCCCTTCGCTGCCAACGAGAGACAGGGGAGAATTCCTCCAGACCAGCCGTCCGTGGAAGACAAGTTACGGTCAGAGCTTTGAGCCAATTCTAACCACGCACTTTACCGTTGAAGCCTGCGAGAGGTCTCGCTCTGTCACGTGTCCTCCTTCATTTCTCGTAGCAGCCGAGCCCGGCACACCGGGCAGTGGCAGACGAGAGGAGAAAGAAGCGGATAGGCAGCACATAAGCTAGCAAAGACTGCCAGCCGTTTCTAAAAGCGGAGAAGTGCTTGGGGTTAACAAATCCCATACAAAACCTACCGGTACACAGCAAGGCGCAGAACACTGGTATCAGCCCCACAGCTTTTGCCAATTCTCCAGGCCTAATATCAGCAATTAAGCAGAATTTACTACTCAGTTTGCACAACGCTGAAAGAAATGGGTATTTCTAAGCTAGTATGTGCCATCAACAACATCTTGTAGTTATTCAAGAATTTGCGCCAGCTCCCAAAGAAGTGAGCGCAAACTCCTGCGGCAAGAAGACGGCGCGACCTGGAATCAGCCAGGCTTTGCTGATTACTCCTCTGAGTAAACAGTGGTGTTCCCAGCACTTCAGCCTGCTCTCAAGCTTCTGCCGTTGGCATACTACCCTATATTTAGGATAGAAGAGCGCAATGACAAGCATCGGGAAGAATGAATAAGTGGTTTAGGATGCTCGGAATAGCGGCAGAGACTGTGCGAAGAAACTTATGCCGAATTAGAAACTCTCAAAGCCAGGAAAGGAATCTGCAAAGCTAAAGATGGGAAGAGACAACATTCCATACGGAAAGTTAAATAATCAGTTTTGTCAATGACAGTATTCCCAATGCAAGAGATGCTAGCAGTCCATCCTATAACAGCAGCAGGCAGTGGAAGGAAGCCCCTGCCTGGAGAGAAGATAGGCAAATGCTTGGTCTTTTTATACAAAAAGAGGATTTTAGTCTCATTTTGACCGGTGAGCGATGTCAGTGCCATTTTCCCAAGCCTACGAGCCCAAAGCTCCGGCACCAAGGGACACACAGCTCCTCAGGGAGTGACTGCACCCTGCCTGCCGCCCAGCTCCCACATCCCCCTGCCCGTACCCCCCTCCCACCCCGGTCCTCCTGCCTGTACCTTCCCTCCCGCAAGGGGCAGACACCATGTTAAGCTCTAAAGCACACACGGGGAGTTTAAAACCTGCAAACCTGTGGCAAAACTCGCCAAATTCATACCCGCTGACTTGACGGGAGCTGGAGACCGGGGCGAGCCGCTCCGCAGCCTGTTGCTTCTGAGGAGCCGGGGAGGCCGCAAGGAATATTCTGCATTTACGCCTTTTTGTGCGGCAGGACTTATTTACTTGTGGTTTAGTCACCCGCACCGCTAATGGGAGATAAAAGTTTAACTGTGGGTCTGTTACACCCAAAACAGCTTCTGCTGTTAGGTCGCACCGGCAGGGCCGAGACCCACGGTCACCCCCCGGGACCCCCTGTCCCGGAGCGGGGCCGGGAGCCAA